GGCGACATGCAACGACCATGCATGACGTGCTTGGTACCATGACCGTTCAAGCGCATGCACTATCAAAGACGGATTAGGGAGCCTCAGTACAACCATCGAGCTTAATGCCAGTCATACCATGCTCATGCATGGGCAGGTTTAGCATACCCCGGCGAGCTCACAATACAGATTACATGATGCTGGCAGGTGTAGAGGTTTTGCTCCCTTCAGTGTTCACAACCCTTGCAAAGTCATCGTACACATCAACCGTGCTGGTCGTGTCAAACCTCCCTGGCCCCTCTGTAGTGATCACTTCCCGGCAAGCATCATCATGTCGGGTTGTTGCATTGCACCTTTCCCTTCTTCTGTCGTGTTCGATGCCTTTGCCTGGTCTTGAAACAAGCAACTTCTTGATTTATTGGGACCTTGCCACTCCTGCAGTGCTTGCAGAAGCACAAACTTTTTTTGGAAATCCAAGACACACCAACAGGTGAAGTAAAGGTAGAAAGGACAGGAGTGGAAAGTAGGAACAGGAGCAGACCCAATATGTCATGTTTATGAACAGTATGCAGGTGGGACAACGCAATCACCCAGATTTTTGCCAGGAACTTATTTTTGGACGCCGACAGGGGCAAATTATTTAGATACGGACATACGCTAGTAAATCTTTAAATATCATTACTTCTCATGAAATCAATTTCACTCTTCAATCGAATAAAGAAGCAGACCCTACAACAGCAATCATAGCAGCACAAATCAAGCGAGCTAGGCTTGAGTTTAGTCTTGCTTTAGCAGTGGTGGCCTTCAAGGTCTGGAAAGCGACATAACTAGAATCTAACATCAATGAGAGATAAAGCATAAAACATGAACGCAAGATTATACCAAAGGGCGGACGCTAACAACAATTAAAAATGCAATACCAACAGAGGAAACTTACAGGCAGATAGAACATCGGACCTCACCACAGGAACAATAGAATTACAACTCTCAGAATTAAAGCAAATAAATAGATCAGTTACAAATAAACAAAGATTGAATAATAGTATTGGTAATGTTGTTGCAAGGGCGGATGCAACTAGTTGGGGCGCTTTGTTTCAGAACAGCAGTGAATTTAAAGAAGTATTGGACATACAGTAAAAGTTATTCATCAGAAACGGCGTGAAAGAATAAATCAAAGAAATTGGTGAAAAGGATTGTTATAGAGTTGCTAATTCGTGCCATGAGCATGTCAGGGCAATGCAGAAAATATTTGATGCAACAACCCGGCATGAGGTTACTAGTTACTATACAATTACCAACCGAACATGACGTTATTCCTGCGAAGCCTCTCGCAGAAAGAACCACATTGGACCCCCCCCCTTCCCCCCCCCTCCACCCCCCTCCAATCACAGTCGGTCGAGCCCCCGCCCCCAACCTGTTATATAACTTCGTTTTCCAGACCTTGACAGCCACTACTGCTAAGTCAAGACGAAACTCAAGCCTAGCTCCACTAGCTTTCGTGACTTCGCTACAAGCTGCAGCCGCCGCAGCAAGGAACCAGACTTGTGAAGATGTGTTTGCTTCTCGTTCGTTTTCGCGTACTTGTTGATATTCATATTGACTGTTGATTGGTCTCTACTTCGCAGATAGCTGTTGCTGGGGCTGACTTACCGGCCTAACCCTTCAGGGAAGATCTGACCAAAATGAGCAACATGGCAACAGCCTGCGACACGGAACTTCGCATGCTGTGAACCGACATATCATCATAAGTGTTGGACATTGTTAAGCCCAAAGCGTGCCCAACCCGAGAAGCCGAGGGGCCCATCTGGTTCGCCAGGTGGTCCAGGGAGTTAACCTGCTTTTCGCTGGGAGGGCCGACTGTGGCAGCATCACCAAACTTTGCAGTGAGCTCCCGCAGCTGATCTGTGCGAAGCCACGCCTGGAACAATGCTTTTCTTCAGGGCCTGACATGATGCAGGTCCTGCACCTCAGAGTCAAAGGCCGTCTTTACCAGCAGCACAGCTTCCAAGAGGTAGTCCAAACCGGATGTTGGCGAAGCCACTGCATCCTCAGCAGCACGCATAGCACGCTCCTCTACAAAGGAAGCGAGGCAATGCGGCAATGCAGCTGAATGCAGCTACCCGGGCCAAGCATCCATCAAAGCCATCAGGAAATCAGACACCATTGCAGCTGCATTGGGATCAGCAACTCGCAGCAGCTCCACAGCCTGAGCCAAGCACAACTGCCAGCTCCACCTTGGGTGCTGCTTGGTCAAGGAGCCACGGTGTTCACCAGCGACATCACCAAATCAGACCTCAGCGGATCTGCGCCTATGGTGATAGTATGTGTCTCTGAAAGACGCTGCAAGCTTTGTGGGTTTGGCGGATCTGCTGATCTTCTGGCTTGGTCTCTTAAATTGGCAAGGTTGCCAGCTGCAACTGCCCCCACTGTGCACCATTAAAACAGGACAAAGAGGGTAGTCTTGCTGCTCTACTTCCATGCTTATGCCAGGTGCCAAGCATCTCCATAGTAGACAGGCCAGCCCTAAGCGCATCAACCTAAGTGGATATGGGATGACTTGGCTGCAACGATTGGTTTAGCTTCACACTCCGGCCTCCCGCTTGCGATCATCAGACAATGTGGGCGTCGAAGTTGCCAATGCGGCCAAGGTGTTCAGAATGATCTGGGCATCGCCGAGCCGCAGTGCTGTATCAAGGGCCGTGGCCGCCGAAGAGGCAGGACTGCTGGGCATCTGTACCAGTGGCCCCACCATCCAGGTGCTGGAGACCTCGGCTGTCAAGTGTACAGTCTCAGACCAGCAGCTCCAGCTCAACACTAAATCAACTTAGTGGAGTACAGCTCCAAGCTCATCCTCTGCAACAACAGCATGCATGTACTCCCCTGGAGGGAGCAAGACCCGGATCGAGGAAATGCTGGATGACTGCCCCAGGAAAATGCCTCCCAGCTTGCTCCAGTAGTTGGGGCTGCTCTTGTCGCGCCACTCGACGAGCGGGCGCTGGAAGGTACCGCTCATGGAGAAACCTTGGGCACTGTGATTGACTAAGCATCTGACCGGATGTTCATTTCCCACAAAAATCTTGCGAACAAGTTTGGTTCTATTTCCACGTGTCTCCGCAATTTTTCGAATAAGGAACTTCCGGCAGCTGCAGCCAAGCTCACACCCGTCGGGATGGGAAAACGATAGAAGGAGTACTTTAGGCGAACCAAATCCTCATCATACCACCCAGATGTCGCAAGCCAAAACTCCGTTTCAAGTGCGGTTCCTAGATCTGGCACACATGCGAGATAGCCGCCTGAGGGGGCACCGTCGGCAACAAATGGTACAGAACGCGCAAATCGTAGGCCCAATAATTCTGCCTGGGCCAGATCTCTCGGGCTGGAGCCAGTTTCCAGCAGGGCAAGCGCGTACGAATCTCCTGGCACCAGGTACTCATCAGGGAGCGCACCGGCACTGACAGCAATCTCCCCTGGAAGGGTCAGGTTCGTCACGATAGTGTCAAGGTACAGCAAGATAGTTGATGGGCTTGCATCAGCCACCAGGGCCCAGATCCATTCCACATCAGGGGCCATGCCGCAGGCATCACCCACCATAAGTCTTGCACTGCTCTGCGCAAGTTGGCTGATCGTCTGGACTGGCACAGGCTGATTCGCGTACCAAGGCACAGACAAGGTGATTGGCACTGCAGGTGTTTGTCTAACCTGGACCACCCAAGTGGCAATCCGGAAAGACAGGCTGTCAGTTGGGCGAACGACGGTCACGTTAAAAGTGTACGTGTCTTGAGCCAGCTGTCCAGGTGCGACCCGTATGTCTGCACCAGATGCACCAGATCCATCAGTCCTTGCCCAGGTCACGGTCTGGAAGTTCGACAACGATTGGCAGTTGAAGCTGGCATTGTTTGCAGCACATGACCAGAAATAGTGCGGCTCCGTTGTACCTTCTGGGTCGAAAGACTGCGATGCGTCCAGAACCTTACCAAGCAGACTGGTCCTGTTAAACTTTCAGTAAAACTCAGAATTAACATTTGAAACCCCAACTCACCTGAATATCACTTGCACCCGCGGGGGGGGGGGACGAAAGCTTAGAAGCAGGGGTGCATACTAGCGCATGCATTTTTTCATGAAGAGGCAAGAACGGCTTCCAACGTGCCTAAAAATTGCCATCTGCCGTCTCAAACGGCCTCCACGGCACCCGAAACGGCACCCCGAAACCACATCAAAACAGACCCCTCATCTTGCCTATTTTCGAGGCCCGCGGGGTGGCCTCCCCCACACCCCCTTTGTACAGATCAGCAAAGCTGGACTCAGACGAAAGCTTGGGAAGCTTTCGTAATCACATGAAGCGAGCACTTGCTGATGCGAACTCAAGTATTGATCGATGCTCGCGAGGCGGAATCTGACATAGGTACAAGCTGTGACTTTAAGCGAGGTCTTACTGCAGATTTGAAGCTGTAGATGAGAGGCACAGTTAGCGGCAAGGGCCGCTTAGCTCTATGAGGACCTGGAGAAGAACAGCCTGGAAAGACAACCCCAATCCGATGCCGAAATCAATTTCCTAGTCAGCGGGAAAATTTAGCACTTGAATAAAGCTTGACCCGTCGCCGCTCAATTTGTGGGCCAGAACACGAGCTCACAGGTCTCCGGTAGAACTGCAGGTCCCGCAACTACTGGCACCACCGGCGCAGCTGCCGACACGTCAATCTGAATCACCTTTGTCACACTAACCACATCAGCTCTGACAACTTGCATGTTGAAGTTGAACCCACATGAAATGCATGCCGTCTTTTGTTACTTCTCTTGCCAACAGTAACCCCACCTTTCTTCACCAAAGGGAAAATGTGATCTGGGAACATCCACAGGCCGTGGTGCATGCTGCTGCGCCTGTGTTGTGTTCGATTGGGCCCCAAACTCTGCAGTGGCCCGCAGCTGATGAGATGAGCCAGGCGCAAAGCTGAAGGCGCCAAAATGAAGCTTCCAGGGAGTGACACGAGCCCTCGAGAGCGCCGCCTTATCAAAGGCTTGCTGTGATTTCTGTGCCGTCTCTGAGCTGCTTAGACATCTTTGCCAGACATGCCGCATCCTCCAGGGAGAGCCAGGATCCTGCTGTGCCAGAACGGTACTGCCAGTGAACACTAACATTGCCGGAGTCTGCTGTGGCCTCAGTGCGAGAGAGGCAAGCTCTGACTTTCGGGGCTTTGGCCAAAAATGGCATCCAATAGCAGCCAGCATGCGTTTCCACAGGTCGAAGCTGTGGCAAACCTGCCCCAGGCAAGAGCTTGCGTGGTGGCACCAAGGTTTCCCACGCCTCGCCGCAACCGCCACACTCACGGACTCGTTGGTGCGGATTAACTTTCTCGGCGGGGGCTCCAGAGCAGGCTGCTGCGCATCAGACAAGTCAACCTCAAGAAAAGCCTCAGCAGGCAAAGGCTCGTGCAGTTTTTTTCCAGCTGTCTGCCGCCCTTAGGATGCCTTCTAAAACGTTGTCGCCAAGTAGCTGAAGCTGCATCGGAATGACCCAGCCAATTCGTGGCTGTCAAGACCAATTGAATGCGTACCAGACTCAATGAAGCGTTGGCTGCTAGAGCAGCATCAGCACTTCTTGAGATGGTAGCAGATGGCAATGTGAAAGTTAATGACCCATTTTGAGATGCAAGGAAATCCTGACGCAGCACCCTGCTGGCTTCATCAGCACACATCTAGAAAACATTTAGAAACGCTTTGTTAAACGCACTAAGAAGTGAACATGATGGACTCCTGCTAACTTTCATTTGGGTTCCCGGCGCTTGTCAATGGCGCCGTCACGCTGTGCGGTTTTTAGTTCTGGGGGGCTTAGCAAAAAGCCTAGGTGAGAGATGCGAACGCATCTTTGGCAGGATGGTACCTAGCACCGTGCTTACGGCTTGAAAATCAAGAGAGCACATTGCAAGACACATGGAGGATAAGGATAAGAAGTAAAGCCAAGGTAAACACAACAGATTGACACGTAGAAGGATGGTAAATGTAAGATAGAAAGCACAGGAAGCTTAAACCAAAGCAAACGCAACGGCAAAGAGAGGAAAACGCAAGGTAGGCAAAAGATGAAACAACACTTGCAGTTGTACTGCACCCTCATTTCACACTACCTTTATTCTGCCAACATAAGTCGCATGAAAGGCAGAATGCAGGCCGAGCATGGGTAGGAACTTAGGAAGCCCTCCCGGAGGCCCAGACATGCCCGGGCGGCAGCCAAAGATGCGACCATGTCGCTCGGGCACCAAGCAACATGTAGTGCAAAGGCATGTAAGGACGCCGAGGCAATTCTTTCCTAATTTCCAGGACCGCTGTTCCCTCAGAGGGTTTTACAGACTTCGAAAACTAAGGTGAGAGGGGAATGCGCGCACGGTGCTTCAGGATGCTTCAGGTTTGAGTGAAGCCTATGGAACGACCAAAGCGGAAGTCACAAGATATCGCACATCTTCCTACTGTCTCTTCAATAGGATCAAGGACTGGAATAAGCCTGACGGCAAGTAGTAATAGGTAAATTGGTAACCTTGAGGGTCAAGACTAGATGGAATGAGAATGGACTGCGCTGAATAAGCGTAACTGTAAGTAGCAACAGATTTTAAAAAAGGAGGTAAACTTGAGCGGCAAGTCAAGGCCAAGCATGGTGAAAGCAACAGAGGGAGAATTGGAAGGTTTGATGCAGGCACCCGGCATGATGTTTTTCGAGCCATGGGCACGCAAATTTTGTGAGCGGAGCAAGCACCAGCAAGTCAACCAACCCATGAGCGAATATACGAGTGGACGAGCAGATGCCTCCAATAGTAAGTGTTGACATACCAGTCGCAACCCCACCCCCGCTCGGGCGTTTCCAAGCACAGTTTGAAGTACAGCCATTTCAGTAGCAAAGGAAGAGATAAACAAATCCCAACCTGTGCAGGGAGCTGGGACTTCACATGATACGAGCGCCGAGCTGGAAGCAAGGTTAAGTAGGTGTTGGCACCATGAGGCAAATTGTCGCAGCTTGCCAGCCTCTCCCAAACTGACAGTGGAGACCTTCTGATGTTTCATGCTTCGACCTTTTAGGAAATGATGTTCCGTTCGAGTGCGCAACAACAGCGGTGAGGTTTTTTTGGCAAGGCACACAAATTAACACTTTCCCACTGCCACGTCTCTCCTCGATGCAAAGGGTCTTCTGAAATTTCAGCAGCAACCAGCGCAGGGATGGCAGCCAGCGTGAAGCATGCACAAATGCATCTGCTCACGGCTCCGTTTCTGGTCGCTAGGCCTAGTCTCCAAAACTGACATGTTTCGAAGAGTTCAAAGCATGTTCCCTACACGTGGAAAACCAGCTAGTACAGCAAGCACAAGGTAGACGGACCTTTTGGCACACGACGCTTGGGAAATCTGCTATCTCTGAAGGAGGTAGCATATAGCCCCCCGCGTGAAACGCTGAGTGAAACTGCGTGACTTCTTAGTTGTGCGGAGCATGCAATGCGATGCCTGAGTGAAACTGCAATCCTGCGGATGTAACGCAATGCGTGCTAGGGCAAATGCGATGCAGTATTAAGGGAGTGGTGGGTGGGTGAGCAAAAAGCTCTGCTGGTTTGATCCCACGCTTCGGAGAACATGCCATGGTCATCAAGCACACGTACGGACATGTTAAAACATGCATGACCAAAAACCACATGACACGTTCAAAGCATGTTCCCTACGCGTGGAAAACCAGCTACTACAGCAAGCACAAGGTAGACGGACCTTTTGGCACACGATGCTTGGGAAATCTGCTATCTCTGAAGGAGGTAGCATATAGCCCCCACTTTAGGTTCCCGAGCATCTCGGTGTGCATGCGTGCACTCAATCCCCTTCCGCGGCCGAGGTGATGGGGTACCTGCATGCAAAGATGCTGAATGCGAAGCAAGTGTCTCAACTTGATTCAGCATGCGGCTAGAACTGCGTAGATGCAATGAAAAGTACGCGTTATTCGATGCAAACGGAGTTTCTTGAGACTTTTTGCGCTGCTTGCGGTCTCACGGAGGTTGCTGAGCTCGTTTGAGCTCATCACCCCATGCGGCATGCAATGTCGCTGTGCCTTTTGGGGAGGCTAGTGCGGCCAGGGAAATGCGTTCCCTTTCATGCGTGCGGTGTGCAAAGCGATGCGTGCAGTTCCTGCTGAACTCGTCTGCCCAAACATTTTTCTCCCCTGCGAGGTGTGTCAGTGCCAAACGCACGTAGCTGTGCGCTGACCACTCTGCCACTGTCTTTAGGAAGCCGCTGAGGGGCTCGGATGTAGTGAAAAGGCGATTGATTCCTGATTCTGCCGCTGTGTTGTCCGAAGCTGCGGGCAGGACAAAGCGGAAGTGCTTGGTATGCATGCGAGAAACTGCGGTCATCGCAAGTGCTAGCTGTGCAATGGTTTCGAAACAGGCTATGTAGGCCTGAGCCTTTTTCGTAAGATGCGGCCAGTGTTGCCTGACCTCTGTCATGTCCCATTGCTCGGAGAACCATGCGAAAGACTGTGAAGTGCTGATCCAGCCGCCAATGCCTACTTTAGTGCCTTCGGCCATGGCGTCTGCGGCGGCCAGGCAATGCAATTGCGGCGCCTGCCTGACTGTGCGGAGCTGGTCATGCGCAAAGCAAGAGGAGAGCCAGCGCAGAGCAGATCGGCTCTCGTTGCGGAGGTGGATTTCTTGCCTGGAGGGGTCTGCTAGACGTATCCACTGTGGCGCATGCGAAGGGGGAATGCGCGGTACATCTGCTTTGCACGAGATCTTCTGGGAGCCAACTTCCAAGAGTTGGGCTCCAACAGTGAGCCACATGCCGAGCGGCTGTTTTGCCACAGTTGCCTGCGGCGAGAGTGCATCAAGCAAACGATGCCAATCTCTTGCGTGCACTTGGTGCAAGGTCCCGCGACCGCTATGAAGGTCCCTGTAGAGAGGAGCTATGTATGGCCTCAAGTGCGCAGGTGCTGGTGGCCCACATGAGCAGGCCAAGTGCCCTCTCAAGGTGCTTGCGTGGCAGCTTTTTGGAGCGTGCAAGGGTTTCAAGCTGCTCTTGCAGTTTGGAGAGCTTGCCTATGGCAAGATGCGATGCTTCTAAATCAGTGTGTAGTGTCCAGCCGCACCACGTAACCACGTGTCCAAGCTGTGCTTTGCGCCAGCTCATGGGAGCGTTGATCGCGGACAGGAAAAATGTGATGAGGGTAACTTGCTGAGGCATGCTGTGTCTGCAGAGCAATGCGAGGAGGTCGTCCACGTAAAGCCATGCGCGGTGGCTGAAAGTGCTGAGCAGTGCATGGGTGATGCGGAGCATTTGCGCCCCTGCGCGCTGCCACCAATACGCGCTGAATTTTGCTCCAAAGTGACAGACGATGTAGTGGTACAATTTGCCTGCGACCTCAAACAAGAGGCATCCATGCTCGCTTGGATGCACTTTAATGGATTTGTGCGCGGCTTTAAAGTGTAAGGAGAATGCGATCCATCGCCCGAAGGTGTCTTCATGGCTGAAGGTGCGATGCACATCTAAGTTGGATGGGAGAGAAACCTTCTCGGGCACTATGCATGCTTGGTTGGCATTGCAAATGGAATCGTCCAACACGAGGCGGAGCTCTTTCCCCTCTGCGGTGACAATGTTAAGCTTGCCTATGGCGGAGCCCTCGGGCCAGGTGCGGGAGACTGCTGCACGATCGCCTGCGAATGGCTTGACCCATCCGTGTTCTATTTCCTGCGATAAGAGTTGCTGCAGGAGCTCTGGGTTTTTGGATGCTTGCGTCCAATTGCCCTGGCAACGCAAGAGGTGTGTGTCATCCAGGTCGTCACCCTGGAGATTTTGCTGGCGCTGTTGCCATTGCATGCTGGATGGTATTGGCTGAAGTATGCCTGCGGGGACACCTTCCTGCATGAGGGTGCCCAAATTGCCATCTGGGTCTTGCGTGCGTGCGGCAAATGCTTGGAGGAGCTTTACGCGGAAAGGCTGGCCAGGAGAGACAAGTAGGCAGTCGTGCGAAGTGCAGGTGGGGTGAAGACACCGGTGTGCTATCTCCGCCACGTCCATCTGCTGTTGAGGAGTGAGCGGATGAGAATCTGTGCCCTGCATAAGATGCGAGACCAGGTCTGGTGTGATGGAATGCTGTTCTGCGTATGTTTGCCAGTGTTGCGCGACATCGTCAAGAGGGCTTGAC